CCTTTTGTCTCATTTTTTTTCTGCAGCTGGGACTTTGACTTAAAGAAAAAATTAAATGTATAAGTAAATTTTAAATTTCATTTACAGGTGATAAAAGAAACTTTTTTATTCAAAAAGGGATAACAGGTTGGGGAGGGTTGACATTACCATGCTAGAAACTGTTCACAATTACTGTGAATTAGCTTAGACTACAAAAGAGAAAGGAAAACACATGGGTCCACAACCTGGGAAAGAAAAGCTTTCGTCCACTGCCATAGCCTAGTGACTTCAAAGAAAGACCAGCTATTAAGAGCTACCTGGCCGTTGTTTTTAACCTCTCCCTGAGTTTATGCAATCTTATTAACACACAACGTTGTTTTTTTTTTTTTTTTTTTTTGTTTTTTTTTTTTGACAGGCAGAGTGGACAGTGAGAGAGAGAGAGAGAGAGAAAGGTCTTCCTTTTGCCTTTAGTTCACCTCCAATGGCCACCGCAGCTGGCGCGCTACGGCCCGCACACCGTGCTGATCCGATGGCAGGAGCCAGGTACTTATCCTGGTCTCCCATGGGATGCAGGGCCCAAGCACTTGGGCCATCCTCCACTGCACTCCCTGGCCACAGCAGAGAGCTGGCCTGGAAGAGGGGCAACCAGGACAGAATCCGGCGCCCCGACCGGGACTAGAACCCAGTGTGCTGGCGCCGCAAGGCGGAGGATTAGCCTAGTGAGCCGCGGCGCCGGCTCAACATGTATTTCTTAAAAAAGAAATGAACCATCTGTATTGTGTCTCCTTCTAGTTATTACCACCCCCAAAACACCTACCACCATGAAGTCTATTGTTACAACTTTGCTTTCTTAAAAAAAAAATTGATTTATTGGGGCCAGCTCTCTGGCATAAGTTAAACCTTAGCCTGTAGTGCCAGCATCCCACTGTATGGTCCCCACTGCTCCACTTCAATCCAGCTCCCTGTTAATGGCCCCTGTCACCCATGTGGGAGACTTGGAAGAAACTCCTGGCTTCAGATTGGTCCAGTTTGGGTGTTGCGGCCTTTTAGGGAGTGAACCAGCGGATGGAAGACCATCTCTCTCTCTAACTCTGTCTCTTACATAAATCTTTTTTTTTTTTTAAAGATTTATTTATTTATTTTGAAAGTCAGAATTACAGAGAGAGGGAGAGATGCAAAGAGAGATCAATCTTCCATCTGCAGGTTCACTCTCCTGATGGTTTCGATGGCCAGGGCTGGGCCAAGCTGAAGCTAGGAGCCAGGAGTTTCTTCAGTGCCATCTGCTGCTGCTTTTCCAGGTGCATTAGCAGGGAGCTGGATCGGAAGTCCAGTGGCCAGGACATGAACTGGAGGCCATATGGAATGCTGGCGTCAAGGCAGTGGCTTTACCCGCTGTGATACAATGCTGGCCTACTTTTGCTGGTTTTGAACTGTTAAAATTTAGCTCATCTGTACTCTTTGTGAATGAGTCAACATTACCTTTTGAGAGATTCACCTTTTGAGAGATTCATTCATGCTTTTCATGAAATTATCATTTATTTAATCCACTATATGAACACACTGCTATTCATGTATCCACTCTGTGGGTGAACATTTGATTTGCTGTTAGTTGGAGGCTACCATGAACAGTCCTTCCAAGAACTTCCTTCCATAAAAATGTTTCTACACTTCTGGGGAGTATACATGAATTTCTATGCAGTATATACTTAGAAACAGAATCAAAGAGTCACAGGGTTTGTGCTCCTTTTTCTATCTCTGCCTCTGAAATAAATAAAAGGAAACAAAGGACCTAGGAGGAAACATTCTTTACCAAATAAAAACCAAATTTAGAAACCAAAAGACAAGAAAATAAAACCATTAATAGTTTGAAAAGCATGTTACATTTTATTAATAATTTCATTTGAAGTATTCAAACCAAAAGAATAAAAGAAGATGAACTTAGCTTTCCATGGGAAGGAGCTGAAAGAGGATTAAATTTTATTTCTTCTGGAACCTTCCTACCTCCCACGCTGCATTATGTCACCCACATCTACGACCACTCACATGCTCATCATACCACCCATGAACTAATTATCTACTTGGTTAACTAATAAACTTGAACTTCACATATCTAAAACAAGACTCACTCCCTCAGTAGATGGTGTCACTACTCACCCAGCTATTCACGCGAGGCAAACTGAAGAGCCACCCTTGATTTACTCCTTTGCTTCCAATCTATCAATAAATCCTGTTGGTTCCACCTCTGAAATCTGAGCACTTTTTCGCATCTCACTGCCAAGCTGCTGCTTCCAACAACAGCTTTCTAACTGATTTCCTTGCTCCTGATCTTTCTCCTTACAATCCATTATTCACTCAGCAGTTGGTGTATATTAGATCAGTCATTTCCCTGCTTACCATCCTTAGAACAAAAACCAAATTCCCTACGGCGACCACAAGGCCTTCCTGCTCCAACCCTCCCTCTGCCTTCTTTCCTCTCAACACTTGGCGTTTCTCACTATCTCCAGTCTACTTGCTCCCTCACTCAGGGGTTCTGTCCTTGCCATTTTCTCTACCTTGTCTGCCTGGCTCTCCTACTTACCCCCAGATTAGTTTACATACTTGGCTTTGCACTCACCTTCTTTCCAAGGTAGCCATTACTGTTCCACTGCTCACTACATCTCACCCTTATTTTCTTACATAGCATCTACTGCAATCTAGAATTATCTGGTTATTGCTCCCAACCCATGATAAGATTTTTAAGGGCAGAGATTTACCCATTTGGTTTATTATTGCCAATGCCTACAACAGAATGAGTGAACACTTGATAAACATCACTGAAGCAGTATACAGATTCTAATTATATTGATTTTTATTAGCTTATTGCTTCATATACTACAAATTGTAGTCATTTATTATCAGTTTATTATATATAAACTGAGTTTTAACTGTATTTCTGACAGGAAAAAAAGACATTGAGATTAAAGGAGCATAAAGACAGAATGACCCATCACTGGGCTAAATCTTATTTAGGACAGGAATAAAGAAAACCATACATAGCAATCCTTGTGGACTACTGGGAGGTGGGACACAGTCCAGAAAAAAATACATTACAAAATAAAAGAATAATAAAAAGGCCACAGAATCGAAAGTAGAAAGTTGAGTGAGGGGCCAGTGCTGTGGCGTAGCAGGTAAAGCCACCACCTGCAGTGCCGGCATCCCATATGGGCTCCAGTTCAAGTCCCGCTGTTCCACTTCCGATCCAGCTCTTGGCTAATGGCCTGGGAGAGCAGTGGAAAATGGCCCAAGTCCGTTCAGTTCGGTCCAGCTCCTGCCATTGTGGCCATTTGGGGAGTGAACCAGAGGATGGAAGACTTTCTCTCTCTCTACCTTTGCCTCTCTGTAACTCTGCCTTTTAAGTAAATAAATAAATCTTTAAAAAAAAAAGTTGAATTGATGGCTCCATCGATAAATTCGACCTAGCATCTTGCTGAGTGACTTCATAGGGCTCTCTCAAGGAGGAAGGGTAACAATGGGCTTGTTTTTATGCTGTTTGCAGTACAAAGGTGCCATCAATCAGAGCTAATGAACTGCTCCATTGTTTAGGCCTCAACCACTGCTAAACACATCTGTAAGAACACGCACTGCTTCCCTTCCCGCTGATGAACGCCAAGACCAGTGGGAGTTGGAAAGAGGACTCCATTAGAGAAAAGAACACTGCACCATATATTCTACATGATACACAAGTTCCTCAGATGTGACTGGCTCTGTACAAAACAGCTAAGAACCAAGAAGCAAGCAGCAAAGGTAACCGAGGAAATAAAGCAGCAGCACAGTCCATGCAAGAAAACACAGAAGGCTGAGTCTCTATGTATAGGGATCTCAAGGTCCTCCCACAGAGCCTAATCACACTCATGTGGACTGAGTCCTAACAGCTCTGGCCACCTAGCTTCTCAGTGCACAGCAAATCAGAGATTAGAAAATGTGGAAGACAGAAAACTATTATATCAAGAGCAGATGACTTAACAGGAGGAAGTAGATTAAGCACAATCTACAAAAATGAGTTACAAAATTTCAGAAATTAAAGCAAACCCAGAAAAGAATAGCTGGAAAGGTTTTTATTAAAAATAGTGGCAATCGGGGCAGGTGTCTAAACTAGTCCTGAAGATGCCACATGGGATGCTTGTATCCCATACTGGAGTGGCTGGGTTTGAACCCCAGCTCCCTGATTCCAGCTTCCTACTAATGGGCACCCCAGGAAGCAGCAGGTCAGGGAGCTTGGTCCCTGCCACCTGCTGGGAGAGCTAGACTGACTTCCTGGTTCCTAGATTTGACTTGGTCCAGTCCCAGCTTTGGGAGGTATTTGGGGAGTGAACCATTGGGTGGGAGGTCTCTTTCTACCTTTCAAATAAATAAATAAGAATTTAAAAAATGATAATCTTAGAGAGTTCAATTGTCACTGAGAATATGAGTCTTATCTTAAAACAGTGCAGCGTTAATATGGCACCTCATATAGTGGTTTCCATGAAACGCTGAATTTGCGTTCAAATAATGACCCCAAGTTGCTTTCTCTTAGTCCTGGAGTTTCTGACTTGATGGCCATTTATATTTTATTTTACAGACCACAAGTGATTCTGAATGAGGAATTACTATTGTAATATTCTAAAGAAAGGTAATAACACACTCAAAATATTACTTAAAAGAAATAAGTAATATTTTACCAATATCTACAAGTGTTTTCAATAAAATCTACTTATTAAAAAGTCTGGGTACATTAAAGTAATGTGAATATTCACTTGGGTAAAACACTTCATCTCCCAAAGTGAGGGAGGGGCTAACCAACACACCACCAACAGCCAACCTGCTCTCCAGATGGTTTCTCCCGAAACCACCCACTGTTACCAGAGAACAGGAATACTCGATATGGAATGAAATCGTGGTAGAAGCTGAATTGCAAGTTATAGGAAAAGTATTTCATGACTTAACACAGAGTGTGGGCGCCACACAGCAGAACACGCCAGACAAAACGCTGCACCTCTACTCACCTTTCTGAAAAATCAGAGTCGATAAATTCTCTAGCCCGTTTCCTATCACTAAAAAGAAAAGACAGCATAAAAACACTTAACATATACACAACTTTATTTAACAGGGAAGTATTATAACTTGTCTATTCCTACACTGAATACATCCAAAGACAAGAATTAACAAAAATAAAAGATACGTACAAAGTTTTAATTTTACCATGGGACAAAGACATCATGACATAAAAATCATAGGTTGAAACAAGCTTGACAATTAATATTTAGGGAAGAAATCATTGCATATTTACAAGTAAGAAGAGGAAAGTTTATTCGTTCTGGAATGGCTGACAATAAAAACACTAGACAGTCCTGTCAGCCCCAATATAAAGTGGGAGCTGAAAACACACAAATCCTGGTTATCTCCAAAGTGAGCCGACACTACTGGAAAGGGCTTGGTTCTCGCGTTAGAATCCTTCAGGCCATGTAGAAATCCAAGGTTAACTTTTAGACCTACATGAGAATTTTCCATGAGAATTTTCTTAAGGATTGAGTAAGGGTCATAGGGCTACAGGTGATTCTGTCATTTCATCTTATTAAGATGCTGGAAAAGCATGTACACATATATAAGACTCTCTGTCTCTCCTATACATGTATGTGTTCATGTATACATGTATGTATGTGTGTATATAAGCATGTATATGGCCTAAAGCATTTGTTAGGATTGTTATTCCATTAATTCACTTAATATTTTTAAAGGAGATTCTAGCTCACACATGACAGAACCATCAATGCAGACCCCACTGTGTAAATAACTCCTAAATTAACAACTTCAAGGTAGAGATGAGTATTTGGCCTAGTGGTTACAACCCCGGTTAATACATCCTCATTCTACACTAGAGTACCTGGCTTTGATACCCAACTCCAGCTCTTGATTCCAGCTTTCTGCTGATGCAGGCCCTGGGAGGCAGCAGTGCTGGCTCAAGTGACTGGGTTCCTACTACCCACATGGATTAAAGATGCATTATTATCTGGATAAATATAATAATCCATAAAGATCTGGATTAAATATCGGGTCCCAATTTGGTCCAGCCTCATCTCTGCTGTTGCAGGCAATGAGCCAGTAGAAGAGAGCTTGTTCTCTGTCTCTTACATTCACTCACTCTCTGCCTTTCAAAATAAACAAACAAATAAAACAAAAAACTTCTAAAATGACAAAATTAGATTTGGAGTCATTTATCTTAAAGTGTTTCTTTTTCCATGGAAGGATGAAATGCTAAAATGAAGGAGTGAGAAATGTTGGGTAAGGATACAAAGATTTGATACTAAGAGTGGCAAATGAGTAACACTGAAGGGACATTTGTTTAACTGGCCAACATTCAAAAAGAATCAAGGGATGGGGCTGGCATTGTGGTACAGCAGGTTAAGCTGCTGCTCGTGATGCATCCCATACTTGGGTACCAGGTTAAGTCCTGGCTACTCTGCTTCTGTTCCAGTTCCCTGCTAATACTCTGGGGGAAGGCAATGGAAGATGGCTCAAGTATTTGGGCCCCTGACACCCACATGGGACACCAGATGGAGTTCCTGACTCCTGGCTTCAGCCTGGCCCAGCCCTGGCTGTTGTGGCCATTTGGGGAGAGAACCAGCAGATGGAAGACCTTTCTCTCCCTGTCTCTCGCTCTTTGTTGCTCTACCTTTCTAAGAAATAAATACACCTAAAAAAAAAAAAAAAAAGTGGAAAGGAAAAATCTAATGCAAAAAGATACCTGGCCTCTTTTCCCTAGTTCCTTTTCTTGCTTTTATGGAAATAAGAATTCAGAGGGGAAATCTTGAGAATATCTAATACTTAATACATAACTACTTAAAACAACATACAAGACAGTTTTTATGTCGCCAAAGCAGCTCAATACTACAGCCATAAGAAGCAGTCCTGTTTCAGAGCTGAGAAGCCAGGAGATTCAGTTACAAGTTACTGTACTGGTTACTGGTTTTCCTGTTTACAAATGGTTGCTCCAGAGACGATTTATATCTAAGATGTAAAGTGAAATAAAGTAAGTGATTCTAAAGGAAACAACATTGGTTTTTATGAACCAAACTAACATAAAAGAACAGAAGACAAGAGAAATTAGGGAAAAAAGTTCAGAGCTCTTTTTAGAATTTTCATTTTAAGGTTTTAAAAATGGTAATTTGCAACACACTTACCTTGGGACCCAGCCAGTAGCTTCTGCTATGTGTGTCTGAGTAACCATGGCTGGTGCAGGGGTGTATGGACTCCCAATCAGAACACTTCCTGAACTGGTTAGTCTCTGTGGTGTGCTTATAATCTGCAAAGTGAGGAACAAAGAAAACACTCTTATTGATTAAAAGGAGAGTACAAGCTGAAAATCTATACATGAGGACAACACCTTGCTGCCCCACCACCTAAAGTGTAAGCAACTTGTTTGATTATATTTCTGTAATTATATCCTAGGATCTTAAGGTGTCCTTAATATCAACACGAGGTCACAAAACAGCTTTCAGCAAGTAAACAGCAACCTTGAAGGCTTCCTTTAAGTACCAATTAAGAGAGAACAACATCTATAAGGACTACATCTCCGTTACTAAAGCCTTAACACAGAAGTGACTATTCTATGCAAATGAATGCTAATTAACTCCTTTCACTGTTTAAATGAAATCTGTTTCTGAAGCCTCAGTCTAAGTCACCAAATTAATTGTTAGCTTGCTCCACACAGGAACCAAAGGCAAGGATTCTTAGGCATTTCAAGCTCTTCTTTTGCATTTGAAAGAATAACCTCTGACCTGTAACAACAGTTCAGATTTAGCTGCTAAAGGGTAGTCCACATTTGTACACTTACTATTAGGGAACTTAGCTTCTGTTTCTGTTTGGCAATACATCAGCTTGTGGCTAGGGAGATGTCAGTACAACAAATATTCAGGAATAATTTTGGTAAGTTAATTCTATAGTTAAAATAAAACCAGGGGCCAGTGTTTTGACGTAGTGGGTAAAGCAACACCTGCAACACCAGCATCTGGTATGGACTCTGGTTTGTTTCCTGGCTGCTCTACTTCTGATCCAGCTTTCTGCTAATGTACCTGGGAAAGCATCAGAGGAAGATGGCAAGTACTCAGGCTCCTGCCACCCAGGTGGGAGACCCGAATGAAGCTCCTGGCTCCTGGCCTAGCATATCCTTGGCCATTGTGGGCATCTAGGGAGTAAACCGGCAGATGGAAGATCTCTGTCTCTAACTTTTTCAAATAAGTAAGTAAATCTTACTAAAACATAATATTAAAGTAAAATTAAAGCATAATAGAGTAGATGTCCAGAAAAATTGTGATTATCTACAATAGGCATTCTGAAGCCTGCCTCCTGAGAAAAGATGAAACTTTTGTACCTCACCGAAGTCTGCCTTGCACCCTAGGGATGTGCAGACCTCCCAGGCCTCCCCACATCTCACGGCACCTCCCCACTCCCACCTCCCTGCAGGATCTCCACAGGCAGCAAGCAAGCACACCTCGCTAAAAACTGCATCCTTTGCTGGGTCTAGCACAGTGCAGGGGAATGGAAAGCATGATAAATATTTACTTAGCTGGGACAGTAGCCCAATTTCTAAAATTATGGGTAGGAAAAAAAGTAGCTTCCTCATTCATTGGTATGCTAAGAAAGGATTATATAAAACTCAGCCAGAAAAAAATGTATAATATAAAGTGCACAGTTCTTTCCATGCATCCCTAATTTAAATGTAATCATATGGTTTCTCTGGTAACAGATTAGTTAGGCAGAAAAGTCAGATAGTGCTGGACTTCAATCTGAAAATTTTCTGTGTTCAGTCAGCTTCCTGATGCTCTACTGCCATCTACAGTCCGAAAAGCCAAGAAAGCAGACATATTTTGAAGGGAAAAAGAATCTACATAAAGTGTTTATTAAAGGCTTCCATTACTCGACAAAATTTCGGTTTTTACTACAAGAATTTTTTTAACCTACTGAAATAAGATGGCCATGAAAATTCTCATCTATCAAATCATAAGATATGCATTTATACTGCTAGCCTCCAAGGTAAGCTGCAGGAGATGAACTGTCAGAAGGCAAACATCCCACATTAGTTTCCATAACCACAGAAAACAAATGAAACCTATCCACCACCCCCACCCCCACCCCGTCCCCACATCCAGCTTCCCAGAGAGGAGAAGGGTGAAGGGTGAAGGGCAGGTGGAGAGAGATGGCTGCTAGCAGCAGACAGCAAGGCTTCATCCAAGGGCTACCCAGATAACGAACACTTTCAAAGGCCATGGATAAGGAATTGAGGGCGAGGGGACAAAGTGCAAAGAACAGGAAGAGAACTGAGAAATGGCTCTAATTGGGTATCTCAGTCCATTTGGGTTGCAGTTAACAAAATGCCTTAGACTAGGGGATGTGCCAACAACAGAAATTTACTGCTCCCTGTTCCAGAGGCTGGGAAGTCCTAAACCAAGCCACAGACCAATTCCACGTCTGCCAAGGCTCCTGCCTGCTGCACTCCCATGTGACAGTGAGGGTGCTGGGCCTCTTTTATGAGGGCACTCGCTGCTCCCACTCAGGACAGCAAAGCGCTCACACCTCTCCACCTCCTCTGCAGACTACCACAGTGGGGGTTAAGCTTGAACAGAACGTGGGGGAACACATTCAGAGCATAGCATTCTGTCCCCAGCTCCACCCTCCTCCACAAACTCCTATGAGTCTCACACAGAAACATATTCCTTCCACTCCAACAGCTGCGAAGTCTTAACTCCTTCCAGTATCAACTCCAAAATCCAAAGTCTCATCTCTATCAGGTATGGGTGAGATCCAAAGGGGTGATTCATCCAGAGACTAGTTCCCTGCAGTGGGAGCCTGTGAAACCAGACAAGTTACATGCTTCTGAAATACAACCCTGGGACAGGCACAGGATAGACATTCCCAGAAAAAAGGGATAATAGTTCTTAACCAAATTCATACCCAGCAAGGAAAACATGAAATCTTCAGGTCTGAGAATTAATCTTGATACATGGGACTGGGCTGTGAGTCCCCAGACTCCAGGGCTTTGTTGGGACCGGCCCAGAGTGCAGTTCTCTTCCTCCTGCCTGCGGTTCGCCCACCACTTCACTGGGCATTTCTGCTGACAGGGCTTTCTACAGAGCCCCACCCCGTCAGCAGGTCTCTGCCAGGGCATCCTCAAACTCAGACAGGAGCAACCAAGCCCACGCTCATGCACTCTGCCAGAGGCCCCAAGCGTTTTACCACCTGTGCTGTCTCGAGGAGTGGGTTCCGTGCCCTGCACTGCACCTGTGCCCACTGGAACCACGCTTGGAATGGCTCAGAGTTCTGTGTCAGAATGCAGGGAGCACGAACTTGAGGCAGTGCCAGGCAGCGATGGCCAAGGTCCCATAAGCTCCTGAAGCCACACTTCTGATACAGTTCTTTCCCCTGGCCCTGTGATGGGATAGGTAGCACCAATGGTCTCGTCAATGCCTTCGGGTTCATTCTCCCCTGTCTTGGTTAACAGAACCAGGCTTTCACTCATATCCATTCCAATCTCCTTATCAAAAGGTTGCTTGGCAATGCTTTGCTCTCTCCCAGACATGCATGTTCACACAACATGGACAGGCTGTGAATTTCACAAATCTTTTACGTTCTGTCTCCTTTCTGATTACAAGTTCCATCTTTAACTTGTATCTCTCTTCTTGAATTTTCCTATACACAGAAGTTACCCAGGGGTGTGTGTTACAGCATGGCAGGATAAGCCACCACCTGGGATGCTGGATCCCATATCAGAGCGCCGGTTTTGGTCCTGGTGGCACTGCTTCTGATCCAGCTCCTGCTGATACACCTGGGAAGACAGCTGAAGATGGCCCAAGAACTTGGGCTCTGCCACCCGTACTGGAGACCAGGATGGAAGTCCTGGCTCCAGGCTTTGGTCTGACCCAGCCCTGGCTGTTGCAGCTATTTGGGGAGTGAATGATTGTTATGTTTCTGTTACTTTGCCTTTCAAAAAAATAAAACAAAAAAAAAAAATCTTAAAAAAAAAAATAGAAGCCATGTCACACCCTCAAACACTGCTTAGAGATTTCTTCCACCAAACTGAAATTCCTTCTTCCAGAAAACACTGCCTCACAAACATCACTGTCAAGTTCTTTGTCACTTTGTGACAATGGTCTTTCCTGCTCCTCACTTCCAAGATCCTGTTGTCCTTCACTGCTCCCATGTCTACCAACACTGATGGAGATCACCTGAGGCCATCTTTAAGCAAACAGGCTTTCTCTCCAGCTCTCCTTTTCCTCTGAGCCCACACCGGTCACCCTTTATGGTCTACACATGGCAATACGGGCTGGTTCTAGGCAGCTCCTCCAAGTGCTGCCAGTCTCTGCCCACCTCTCAGCTCCAAAGCCACTTCTGCACCTTCTGGTGTTTGTGACAGCAGCAACCAACACTTCTAGGTACCAGGTTTTGTCCCGGTCTGCTGCAACAAAATACCTTAGACTAGGCCACTGATAAATAAAAACCTACTCATTGTGAAAGACAGTATGGAGATTCCTCAGAAATCTGAAAATAGAGCTACCATATGACCCAGCCATCCCACTCCTAGGAATCAGAAAATCATCTTGGACACAGGGAGACAAATTAACGTCTTGGGCCAAAATCCTCCTCTTGTTCTGACTTTTGTTTTGCTAATCCTGAGGTTTACGGTGACTGGGTTAGTAGTATACATGACTGCTCATCGTCAGAGCTAACCTTTTTGCAAAGAGCTTACATGCACGTTAGTTCAACTTGACCATGGGAAGGCAAGTTTTGTTTCCCAAAGAGGAATTCAAAATTGAGTCACAGCAGCAACTAAAACACCAACAGCAAATGGTCTGTCAAAACACAGGGGCACTGTAAGGGCCAGATTCATAAAAGTCTGAGAGTGTTTAATTTGGTGCTTATATAATCACATTTCAAATTACAGACTTTAAAGTCAAGAGCCTTATCTCATCTGCACCTACTGAAGAGTTCGTGGGGTGGGGGTGGGGGCCCTAAATGCTCAGCCAATGTTTAAAAACCTACCCTGAATTACCTCAAAATGGGGACATCTATTTGAGCCTCCATAAGGTTTGGATTACATTCTTCACATACCTAATGGTAAACTGTGTTGTATCTTCAGCTTGAATTCTACAGATGATTAATAGTTCTCAACTGACCAAGGACAATGTCACATCCAGAAAGTGACTTTACAGTCTTTCCGAAACCATTAATTATGCCTTTAGAGAAAGGAACATATTTCCCATTTTATATACATTATTTCTACTGCTAAAGATGGAAATGAATTGCCATATTGTTTTCTCTGCACTGGCCCTTTAATGGGAAGGTTAAAATTAAGAGTTCCAAACACAGGTTAACTACTGCATCATATACTGAATTTATCAGAGGATGCAGAGTTTAGGCAGTGAAGCTCATTTTAAAAGGAAAAGAAAAATGAAAAGAACATAAAACATAATGGATTTCAAATCAACTTTTTTTTTTTAAGATTTATTTATTTGAAAGAGTTTTACATGGAGAGAAGAAGAGACAGGGAAAGACAGAGAGAGTGAACTTCTATCCACTGGTTAACAAACCATACAAAGAGAAGGAAAAAGCTTCGTCTTATACACCCACAGGCCACTGATTTAAATATATGAAAATTAAACACTGAAGAGTGCAATGCCTTTCTTCTTAGGAATTAACCAGCTACACTCAAATAAAAACAAACTTTTAAAAAAGTAACAGAGGGATAATAATCTTCACTGCAATATTTAACCAAACATCTTCGGTACAATTATCCTTCAAATCAATCTTGCCTAGGCACAGTTTCACTTCTAAGATTCAATGATTGTCTTACCATTTGGGGTCCAACATTCACATTTATTGGTCCTAAGGTTTTTGGTAAAATCTTTGTTGGTGAGTTGGTGCTTGAAACGGGAAATGCGACAAATGAAATGTTACCTGCAATGACATTGAAAGAGGAAGTCAGTGTTCTGTAAACTATGGCCACGCTCCACCTATAAACCCATGGTCCTCACTCATGTTGCTAACTCATGATTATCTTAAAAAGCATATCATGGGGCCAGCTGTAGCACTGGCTGCAGTGCTGGCATCCCATATGGGCGCCGGTTTGAGACCAGGCTGCTCTGCTTCCAATCCAGCTCTCTGCCATGGCCTGGGAAAGCAGTGAAAGATGGCCCCCTGCACCTGTGTGGGAGAGATGGAGGAGGCTCCTGGCTCCTGGCTTTGGATCGGCTCAGCTCTGGCGGTTGTGGCCATTTGGGGAGTGTCCGAGCAGATGAGAGACCTCTCTCTCTCTCTCTGCCTCTGCCAATCTGTAACTCTGCCTTTCAAATAAATAGATAAATCTTTTTTTTTTTTAAAGCATATTATAAGGGGCCAGCACTGTGGCATAGTAGGCTAAGCCCGGGGCACCAGCATCCCATGTGGACACCGGTTTGAGTCCCAGCTGCTCCACTTCTGATCCAGCTCTCTGCTAATGGCCTGGGAAAGCAGTAGAAGATGGCCCAAGTCCTTGGTCCCCTGCAGCCACGTGGGAGATCCAGAAGAAACTCCTGGCTCCTGGCTTCAGATTGGTGCAGTTCCGGTGGTTGCAGCCAATTGGGGAGTGAACCAGAAGATGGAAGATGTTTCTGTCTCTCTATCTATAAACTCTACCTCTCAAACAAATTAAGTAAAATCTTAAAAAAAAAAAGGCATATCATAAACAAGAAGCTTTACCAAAAATCCACATTTGACTGCTTTGTTGTAGTGAATACTGTTAGTTCAGCTGCGTAGTTGTCTTATTTATAAAAATCTACAGTTCCAGTCTATCTGACAATTACCTACTAACCTTTCAGTTGGTCTTTAGAGGAAAAAAAATTTAGAGTAAACATAATGCATACCATAGTTTATGGCAGACCTGTGATAAAATTAGATCTTTCATACATATCATGGCTGGGGCCGGCGCTGTGGAGCAGTAGGTTAATCACCTGCCTGCGGCGCCGGCATCCCATATAGGCACCAGTTCTAGTCCTGACTGCTCCTCTTCCCATCCAGCTCTCTGCTATGGCCTGGGAAAACAGTAGAAGATGGCCCAAGTGCTTAAGCTCCTGCACCCACATGGGAGACCAGGAAGAAGCACCTGGCTCCTGGCTTCAGATCGGTGTAGCTCCGGCGGTTGCGGCCATCTGGGGAGTGAACCAACGGAAGGAAGACCTTTCTCTCTGTTTCTCCCTCTCACTGTCTATAACTCTACCTCTCAAATAAATAAATAAAATCTTTAAAAAAATACATATCACGGAACACAACAGTATAAAGTATAACATGAAAAGTTAAATAAACGTCTATTTGAATTTCTTTATAGTATAAAGTATGTATATTAACAGTTGTATTTTCAAAATGTCCAGTTGGAAATCTTTTGAAGTTGACAGTATTAGTTAACAGGAAGCTAAGTGGCAAGTAAGTGAGGGTGGCAAAATTGGCTCTGAATAGTGTTTAAGTAATTTCAGCACTTTCAATTTCAAATTAACACAGTAAAATGCTACCAAAAAATCTACCCCCCAAATTAAAAGCCTACCAATTAGATTTCAAACTGCAATATCAACTATGAACTCCTCTGGGCAAACTGCAGTTTATCTATCAGAAGATAACAGAACACTGAAACAGAACAAAGGAGATCAAAAGTATGTGAAAGAGGCCCTTCCTGAAACCCTCAGGGAAGGCAGCGCTGAAGAGCAGACCCCTGCTCAGGCTCCTTCCTCTCAGGCTCCTGCACCCCTGTTCCCACTCTTGACAAATGACCGAGTCTTGGTATACGATCATCCTCCAGCCACCCAGCCACCCAGTCTAGGAACAACCTGCACTCACGCCCTCCGCATTAGCTGAGCACGCCCTTCTGGTTGCTGCCTTTATGCTGCTGGCACTTGTTTCATTTCTAACATTTTAGGTCGTGGTTCACAATCCTCCCCAGGCGATGGAGGCCCCGGGAGGCAAGGAACTCCACCAGGGCTGGGTTTAAGGGAGCCTTACAAGTTCTCCAGATGTTTGCACGGTGCAGCCAAGGGCAGCCTACCTCACAGAGCTTTCCTAGCCACTCCACACAAGTAGCAAACCTGTCTTTCCACTGAGAAAACTGTTCTGGACAGTCCCCTACTCGAGGCCTTCAAACACTCCACACATCACTTCCCAAATGCCTCTCCATGTCCTCAGAAAGTCGTCACAGCTGCTGTCTCAAGATGCCACCCTTCCCAGCTTCGGCTTCAGCTACTCCCCAGCTGGTCAATACCTCCCAGTTCCAGAAAGGCCCCCGGCTTCAGCCAGCTGGCCCTGCTGTCCACCTCTCCCTCTGCTGCAAAGGCCCTTCTCTGCTGGGTCAAAAACCAGACGAACCCTGCACCAGTCCTGGGTGACTGCTATGCATAGCCCTGCTCCAGAGGCCAGGACAACAGCATGACACAGGTGATCACTGGCCCCATTTTATACATGAAGAAACTGAGTCTGAGGACGCTAAAGGACTTGTGCAGGGTCCCCTGGCTTGTGCAGGTCCCAGCGTCCACTGCCAGGGCCTGTGCTCTGTGTATCACCTCCTCCTCCTTCCAAGCTGTCCCAGCCTCTGTGCTCCGTGGTCTGGCTCTTGCTCTCCGGCTTCTCATACGCTCTGTTCTTACTGACCAACAGTCCTGAGCTGAGTGGGCCATCTTTCTTGGCTTTGCACCCCAGCACCCAGTTTAGTCCCGGACACAAGACAGGTGCAGGACACTGGACCAACCGTGACCAGCACAGACCAGACGGCAGACTTCCTGTGTAATACAGCCGAGCTGCCAACCTTTGTGACTTTTTTCAGCAGGGATCTTCTCTCATATTGAGCTGGAAATCAATTTAAGGGCCAAGTCCTTTGTTGATTCTATTTTAAAAACATAACAGACCAGCTAGAATTATGAAATTACATTTCCTAGCCTTGTAACTCTGAACTCTCCCACCTAAAACATGCATGTGGTACTTCAAAAAGTTCCTGGAAAAGAGTAAAGAGACAAGTTTATTTCACTGCAAAACATTTTTGAAATCTGGGGATAATTTTTCCATAATACACAATTCCCAGGAACTTTTTGAAGACCCATTTGTATATTAGTGATGGCCAAAAAAATTTAAAAAAAATAAATAAAGATTATTAGAACTCTAAGAATCTACTGCAGTGGAGAATGGTAACGTATGATTGTAACTGAGAGGCATGTGTTATGGAACCTGTAACTGTACCATAAACTCGATCCTGAGCAGAAGAACATGTCATGGAAGAACACAGCCTGGGAAGGAGCTTTCTTAGAGGCTGGTTTTTAAAAATTACTTTAAGGGGCAGGCGGCACTGTGGCACAGTGGGATAAGCTGCTGCATGCGTCACTGGCATCCCATATGGGACCAATTCGAGTCCCAGGTGCTCCACTTCCCATCCAGCTCCCTGCTAACACGCCTGGGGAAGCAGTAGAAGATGGCCCAAGTGCTTGGACCCCTGCACTCATGTGGGAGATCAGGTAGAAGCTCTTGGCTTCCTCTGGCCCAGCCCCAACCGTTGCAGTCATTTAGGGAGTGAACCAGTGGATCGAAGATCTCTCTCTCTCTCTCTCTCTCTCTCTCTCTTTCTCTCTGTATCTCCCTCTAACAGTCATTTCCAAATAAATGAATCTTTAAAAATAATGACTTTAAGGATGCTGAAAGTTTAAGATGAGATCATCTTTGCTACATTATGCTAGAAGCAAAGTAAAGGGGCTGGCACTGTGGCGCAGGTTAAAGCCTTGGCCTGCAACACTGGCCTCCCATATGAGCGCCAGTTCAAGCCCTGGCTGCTCCACTTCCAATCCAGCTCCCTGCTAATATGCCTGGGAAAGCAGCAGAGGATGGCCCAAGTCTTTGGGAGTAAACCAGCAGATGGGAGACCTCTCTGTCTATATCCTTCTAAATCTTTCTCTCTTTCTTTCACTCTTTCTCTCTCTCTCTCTCTAATATTTTACATACCCCCAAGCAATGTCTGAGGGTTCCACTTTTTTTTTTAAGATTTATTTATTTATTTGAAAGGCTGAATTACAAAGGTGGGGGGGCCTTCCACCTGCTAGTTCACTCCCCAAATGGCTGCAATGGCTCGAGCTGGGCCAATTCAAAGCCAGGAGCCAGGAGATTCTTCTGGGTCTCCCATGTGGGTGCAGAGGCCTAACGACTTGGGCCATCTTCCACTGCTTTCCCAGGCCATAGCAGAGAGCTGGATCAGAAGTGGGGCAGCAGGGACTTGAACCGGTGTCTATATGGGATGCTGGCACTTCAGGCGGCAGCTTTACCCACTGTACCACAGTGCCAGCCCCTCTAACTCTTTCCAATAAAATGAATCTTAAAAAAAAAAAAAAAGCAAAGTCAAAACATTAAAAAAAAAATCTGAACCAAGAAACACAAAAGCAGATGCTTAAGGTTAGAGAACAGATTGAGCCTAATCTTAAAGCTAACATTAAAGGAAAATAAATCTTTGGTCAAAACAAAAAGGAAAGCATTAAAGCCAGAACTGCCAGGCCGGTTAATGTCAAAGGAATTTGGAGGAAACACAGTACATTTGACACACTGATTTTAAAGTGCATCTGGAAGAGTAACAGCAGAGAACAGCCAGGAAAATTTTAGGGGGCAAAAAGAGAAATGGGGAAAGGGAAACCACCAGATTTCAAAATTATGAAGTTACAGTCACTAAAATAATGTGGAAGCGGCAGAGAAGCAGGTGGAGAAATTGATGGGGGCTGGCACCTCTTCTGGCACTGAAGGCTCCCAGAGGCACCCCAGTGGCCCTGAGTTCAAGCACCAGCTCTGGCCCCAGGAACTGGGTTCCTGCCAGCCCTGTGGGGGCCCTGGGCTGTGTTCCTGGCTGCTGGCACCAGCCCCAGCCATCATGGGCACGAATGGAATGAACCAGCAGATGGAAGTTCTCTGTT